GGTAGCATCGAGGCAAGGGTGCCTCCAGCTCTCATCTCAGTCTGAGGCCTTCTAATACTTGGGCAGACCTGGGAGACCACAGGGTGGAGAAGTGGCTTCTTCTGATGCCTAGAATCCTCCTGGGTGCAGGGGGGCTGGCATGGGTGCAAGAGTTAATTCTTTATCTTCATCACATCAGAGTAGGTATGAGAAACAGATTCCCTCCTCACTGGAGATGGATTTGAGAGTTTAAGGGGATAGGACTCTTTGATCCAAAGGTTCAGGCAGCCCTCAGCCATTCTCCCAAATGTCTACTGATCAGGGTCATTGGAACATCAAGACATACACCCTCCCATGGCTGCAAAGGCTAGATGAGTCCTGAGGTCATTGAAGCTGAGGGCATAAACCGCCTGTGGCTCCAGCAGCCAGGCAGCTCTCACTTGTCCAACTTGTCTGTTCTCTCCACAGGGACTTTATTTAGATTTTAGGGAGAAAAACAAGACGCAGAGTCCCTAGAATTGACATCACTTTACACGTCTCACACCACGTAGTGACCCCTGTTGTTTAAAGCCTCTGTGGGCTCTGTAGTGAAAGAAAGGCTCAAGCCGAAGGATGGCGAGTGAGGGAAACTGTCTGGCCCTTCATCATGTCTGTGTTCCATGATCTCTCTGTAAGACGTCCTTGGAGCAGGGCAGCCCTCAGCCTCTCTCTCTCTCTCTCGCCCTCAGTTTCTCATAGGAGAGTGGCTGCATGACAGGCAGTGGGTGTTCAGGCAAACAACCATGTTCTGTGATACTTCCAGGCCATCATGGTCTCTGTACCCAGGCCAGGGCGGTTACAAGTTGAGGCCTGGTATTTCCAGTAGAGTTGTGGTCAGGGCAGTGACTGAGCTACAAGGCCCATGATATCATCCTAAGGTAGGGGTTCTACTTCCATGGTGGGCCCAGGTCCTCTGCTCAGGTTTACCCAAGTCTCCATGATTCTGGAATCTAGTGATTCAACCAAGAATCTGGCAGAAGCAATTCCCCTTATTCTTCTGATATAGAAATGTATCTTGGTAACTGGCATATGGCCTGAAAGAGGCACTTACTGATAATCAGGAAGGGTTCAAGAAAGTTCCCTGTGGTACCTTATTCTCCAGATCACTCATGGCTCCACCCCAGAGTCCATGCAAAGAAGTGTGCATGCATGTATGTGTGTGTATGTGTGTGTGTGTGTGTGCGCGCGCGCATGTGTGTGTGTGTTGGGGAGGTGGACCTTAGTGGTCCAAGGACTCCTGATTGTGGAGGACAGACCTGTTCTTGTGGGGTTCACCTGCTCAGAGGGTTGCATGACAGACATGGGGTCCCGCTCAAGTTCTTTTCCTCTCCTACATTCATGTACTGGTCTCTGCCACCAGGTGAGCGCCTATCCTCATACAGGTACACAGTGCTGGGGTGGGGGTAGGTGTTCCTGGGATCAGCACAGAAGGCTCTCTCGCCTGCACAGCCCTGTCCTGGCTGGGAAGGTCAGGGGACTGACTCCTAACTGGCTAAAATGGTCTCAGATGAAGTGATAGAATCTCTGAATTCCACAGTTTATAGCGATTTGTTTTTCCATGGTATAGAAACACTGGCTTTGGGGGGGGGGGGCTTCTAGGATAAATGGATTTTTTCTCTTTTTAAAGTACCCCTGTGGCTGTGAACTGGTGCCAGTCCTGCCGGTATGGTTGGGAGAAAGAGCTATTCTGAGGGCTCGGACTGGCAGGGATGTTCACTGCGCAACCCAGACAGGAGACATTACCCATATCCATTCACTGTTCTGGAGCTCTGACTGACATATTGGAACAAGGGCTCAGCCCTAGACATTCCTGGTATAGCCCTCATCTCGTGATGGGGCTCACCCCAGCTCCCATAGCTAGTGAGGGAGACAGTACACTCTCTTTTCAGGGAGTAAAGCAGAAACCGTGATAGACAAGAAGCTGGGAATCCCAGGAGACCCTCTCTGGCTGGGTCTGGGCACTCCAAAGCCTCCTCTCTCTTTGCAGGGGCTTTTACCATCTGTGCCTGATGACTATCCCAGAGACGCTGCAGGGTTTCCAACGGGATGTGCTCACTGTGCTCACAGGGTCTTATGTGCATCTGGAAACTTTTCCTGTTAGACACACCCCAGACAAGTGTGGGGGGAACCAAGTTGCCCTTACAAGGTCAACACAGACCATGTGCAAAAGACATTAGCCCAAGCCAGGAATCAGGGAGGCAGAGACAGGTAGATCTCTGTGAGGCCAACCTGGTCTACAAAGTGAGTCCAGGACAGCCAAGGCTACACAGAGAAAGCAAAAAAAAGAAAAGAAAAAAAGAAAGAAAAAGAAGACATCAGCCCCCCCCCCCCAGACTGCAAAGGTCCCAGACACTTGCCCTGTTTTCCTGCCACCTGATCACTGTCACAGTTTACGAAGACTAAGGAAGAAAGAGGCTGGCAGAAGGTGTGTGTCAATCAATCGAGCTAATCTGATGTAGAGGCAAAAGGAGCGGTTCCAATGACAAAGGAGTGGACAAAGCTCGTAAGCAGTAAAATATCTTGGGAGACTTGGACTTCCAACACCCTGCAACTCTAAGGGACCTGGACTCTGCAAGAACGGGGCCTTTCCACAAAGATAAGGGAGAAGAGGTGCCTGCTGCAGCCTCTTGAAGCAGCCTCACTCCCAAGTTTGAAAAAAATCTAAAAAGAGTCAATTTTATATATCTATGGATGAAAATGAATTTCACAGGTAGGGTTTAAAAGATTTATTCCTGCTTTCTCAAACACCTAACAGCATACTTTATGACCTTAAAAACCTGTGTCCATGGCGGTCACAGACACATGAAATACAGATGGATGTGAAACCCACTTAATAATACAGGACTACTCACGGGGAAGGCTTGTAACTTCACAGCCAGTGTTCAAAGAGAAAAACCACAAGTATCATAGACCCAGGCTAATTAAGAGCCTGTCATATGCCATATGGAGAGTGCCCAGGATTTGAACACAGTGGTCTGAAAACATGGGTGCTATGAATACAGCCATTTGTCAGCATCAGTATTCTCAGAGATATACCCCAGAGCAACAGATGGCAAGGACCATGGAGGGAGAGCGCCAAAGAGAACACGGGACACAGGAGCTGGGGTTCTCCATCTGTGTGTTTATTTATTTAAAAAAAAAAAAAAACACATGTTGGTAGCCAGCCAGGCATCAGACAATGAATAATACTGGGGACTCAACCCTACAGTGGCCCAGGTCTCTCTGAAGGAGCTCACAGTCTAGTGGCGAGGAAACATGGCCACTCCTGGGACCATGCTGGCGGTGGGCAGCCATCTTGGGGTTGGAAGTAAGAGTCAGGCAGCAGGATGAAAAGGCTGAAGAGAGGCCAGGACCATGTGGCTGAATCCAGAGGGGCTGGGGAAGGCCTGAGCCGCAAACGGGGATGATGGGCAGCTGGGGGGGTTCCCAGCAAGAGGCTTCGTGGAGTGTGGGAGGCAGCCTGGGGTGGGGTGGAGAGCAGCTGGCATGGTGGATGCTGCATCAGTGTGGGAGGACGGCAGTGGTAGACTTAGCCACTAGGCCGTGGGGCCTCGCTGTGTGCACTGTGCCTCAGACCCTTCTGACAGTGTTCTCTGCTGAAACTGAGCACCATTCAAAACCTTCACCAACAACTCAGACATGCCATCCAATAAGGGAAGTTAATCTTCATTATGTCTCCACATTGTTTTAGAGAAGGATTTTTTTTTTCTCTTTATAAAGTTTAGACCTTCTTAAATTTTGGATCAACCATGCTTGAAGTATAATTAGGGCACAATTGTTGCACTTTCAGAAAATAAAGAGCAAATATTTGTTTTTGTGAGAAGGACTGTACATTATTTCCCAAGAGAAAGAGACTTGTGACCCATGCCAGGGTGGTAGCAGGATGGGGTGTGGGCAGCTGTGCTGGGGTCACCCATGGTGTTCTTACAATCGCTGACACTGGTGCCCTTGTATGAGAGCTTAACAAAGTTTTTGTTCTAGTTTTGAAGGGCATTTCTAGGGTTTTCCTGATAAGACAGTTAAGTTCAGCATTTGAATACCATTTTTTTTTCTTACTGTCTAAGCTGTTCCAATTGCCTTTACACTTCAAAAAAGCTGAAACCTTTTAAAAAAAAAAAAACAACTTGATTTTACTAAGATAACGATGCGGCTGCTCCACAGGTAATTAATTATCGTATAATTTCCCTCTTATATGAATATCTTAAGTTTTAGGGGAGCAACGGTATAAAAAGGTTGCTGACATAGCTGCGCTTACTCAAAATACAATAAAACTCAGGAATGCAACCCACTCAGCTCTCTGCACACACATCCTGCCACAGGAGAATGGCCTGCACCACACAGGAAACCCTGGATGCCTGGGGCACACCTTTCTACAAGCTTAGGGGAGGGTTAAAAAGAAAAGGGAAAAAAAAAGGAATTTTCTTAAATAAAACACCCTAGAAAGTTGAAAAGGTGAGCTGACTGTTTCTGAATGAAAAGAAGCCATTCCCAAAATGAGTAAACTTGAGCAGAAGAACTTCCATCTCAAAGTCCCACGTCACCAGGGGATGACAGTATCCAGCGGGGACCCACTGCATGCTGCATGGCGCCGTCACCATGAGGACAGAGTCATGTATGTTCCCCAATGACCGTGGCAGGCTTATTTTTGATGCTACCTATAAAACTGTTCTAAGAAATACTTTTTTCTACCTCCCCCCAAAGATTCACAGAGGTTAGACATACACCCAGACCACATCAGCTCCTGAGGGGGTGGAGCTGCTTGGCCGCTGCATATTTGCAAAAGGCTAGCAAGCGATTACCCCGGCATGCACCAGAACAGGAAAACACACCCAGGCTTCGCTTTTCTTTGAGGGGGTGGGCGACTTGGTCTTGTGAGCGAGCCACGCTGCTTTTTATAACAACATCCTCTCACAGCCTCGTTGCTTAGTAAAAGCCTCCTCTCCGCTCACTTTCAGAGCTTAAGGTTAGAAAGACAGCGTTACCATTGGCAGGAAGGTACGTGAAATGCTGGTACTGGCTTCTCTTCCGCTTCCCATTGCAGACGTAGAAACTGACTTGGACAGGGCTGGTTATTCTCTGGTTGCGGAAAGGTGGTATCTCAACCACCAGAGAATTCTGGTGGGAAAACAGCAAAGAGGAAACAGTCAGGACCTTACAGAGCAGGAATGCTTTGTACTGAGGCACCAAACAGCCATCTCTGGACACCAGAGGGCTTCTGAGGGTGACTTTTGTGTATGACTTGCTCATGTTTGATCCCAGGATCTCCAATGATGACTTTTGTGTGTGACTTGCTCACGTTTGATCACAAGTTGGAAAAAGGCAGCCTGACCTCTTACATGGCCAGAGGCTGAGAGCCCTTTTGTGGTGGAACTGAGGCAAGAAAAGAGGACGTGTAAGCATCTCTCAGAGAGTGGAGCTGCCTCCCTCCTGCTGGACAGCAGATATCCCAGATATCTACTACCTCTTCATCCAAAGCCCAGTGACTTTAGGCAAAAAGACTGTTCTCTGCCTACTTATAGGAAGCACGTCTTCGTGACAAGAGGTGGTATTCTTTATGGGCATTGTCCAGAGTGGCATTGTAATAATCGCCACAATGTCCCACAAGAATCCCCAATATCCTCAAAAGGAAGACAAACAGATCTCAGCCCAGGGCAGAGGGACAGTTGAGAACACAGGTAAAACAGGACAGCTTGAGGTTGGCTGTTGTTTTCTTTCCCACTTTCAAACAGAAACATGCAAGCTTTTTACATTCCCTTTCAGGAGCAAACAAGAATGCAAGCCATGAGTACTTAGAACTGAATGGAACATTAAATGAGGACTCTGAGCTGTGGGATTCCAGGGGTACCTGGCGCTGAGGACCCTGAGCATGGCACAGCCACCCTAAGGAAGGTCAGTGCTTCAGAGTGCTTTACCTAAATCCTACTGGGTATTTCAAATCCATAAAGTTTCTTCATTTTGTTTCTTTCATCATGTGATTTTAGTTTAACAGTCCAGGAAAAAAAAAATGTGTCAGAAAAATCCATGGTATCATTTCTTTTGTTAATGTAATTAACCAGAGCTTGTTATAATGTTAGCAAATCAATTGTTGCAAACTTCATTGAGTTATAAAACCTCAGCACTAGAAATCTGAAGAACTTCAGGTCCAGCCTCTTTTGTGTGTGTGAGAGAGAGAGAGCCTGGCACTGAGAGCCCTTAGAGACATGGGCACCAAGGCAGGACTGGTTAAGATGAGCTCTGGGCTCCATCCCCTGCGCTCCATCTCCCAAGACACACTCCCTCATCAGCCTGCTGAAGCTGTTGCACTGGCTTCTCTTCATCTGGAAGAAACAGTGGTGGGGGAGGGGCAAGCAAAAGTTGGATGATGGAGGCTACAGTGTGCTTGCCCAATGCTACGTGCCCAACCTTGTAGGAGGCTGCCCAAAACTGTGGCAAGCCAGTGTGGGCTGTGTCCAGATTTTAGTGGTCTGGCTGGAATGCTTGAGTTCAGTCAGGTGAAAGGAAAGGGGGTACACCATGGCGGGTTCTAGGACCTGCTAAATTGAAGGGGACCACAGACAGTGCCTCTTCCCATGCATGGCTGTCACTCAATGGTAGCAGCTACTACGGAGTCTAAAAAGAAATGGTTCTTCAAGAGGAAGCAAGAAGACACAGCAATGTCTTATTGATACTTAGCTGCTAAGTATCAAGAAAGAAAAAGCCCCAAAGGCCCCAAGGAAGGACTGCAGAAAGGGCCAGAGGGGCAGGCTGTCCCTGGCTTGCTAACCGATCCCACATGACCAAAGAGGGTCACATCTTGAGACAGACACAGGTCAATGCACTTCAATCCTATGCACAGATACATCATGCTTATAAGCATACCTCTTCCGAGGGAGCTCTGCCCTAAAGCACAGGGAAGGAAGCTGGAGGAAGCGTGACCTGAGATCAAATGATGGCAGCTTGTCAGCAAGGTCAGAGATGAAGGGCTGCAGCCAGCACAGGCTTTAGGAAAACCCACTGGCTTAAGGTCACATTGTTAGTTGGCTGCAATGCCTAGCCACATACACAGAAGAAACCCATCTTTAAAACATCTGCAAATGCAACGTGCATGCCTACGCCTATGATTCCAGCACTCGGGAGACATAGGCAGGCAGATCTCTGTGAGTTCATGGCCAGCCTGATCTACAGAGTGAGTCCAGGACAACCAAGGCTACACAGAGAAACCCTGTCTTAGAAAAAAGAAAGAGAGAGAGAGAGAGAGAGAGAGAGAGAGAGAGAGAGAGAGACTGAGGCAGAGAAAGCCCTCTTCAGTGAGAGGAAGGAAGCAGGGTGCTATGGGTGAATGTTTAATGTTTCACCTTAATGAACAGGTGTCACTCTGGCCATGGAGGACCTTTCTCCCTGGCAAGTACTCGGAAAGGTTTTCTGGGAGTGGATCAGTGCCCAAGAGGAATAGAAGCAGCAGATGTTTCATCCTGACAGAGATGAACACCTGGAGAACAGGAAGACAGCCTGTGCCTGCTGCAAGAGAAGCAGATGCCTTGGTGACCACTATGCTGACGGGAGCCATGACTACCTTTCCTCAGAAGCTATGAGTTCCTGTCTACTCTGCTAATCCCATTATCAGCGTGTCCTGTTGATGAGATTCTTGCTGCCCAATGTTCACAAGTGGCCCAAGAGAAAAAGTCCAAGGTTTCTGAATCATTTAAACCCCACTTCCGCACCCTGGGAGCACCCCAATGACTCCCCACTCCCTGTATTCACAAGAATGCTTCCCAGACTACTGGAAAGAACTCTGGAATGAGCTAGAGTTTGGGAGACCTACTTGCTGGTTTTTGTTGCGCTCTTCTGAGACTAGACAGAACTCTGTGATGGTTTCCTGACTGCTCTGAACTGATAATTGCTTTAAATATCCATGGCCTAAAGTCCAATTAAAAGACACTGTCGGGGTTGTCAACTTAGCTCCATGGTAGAGCGTTCACCCAGCATGTGTGGCCCTTTGTGCAACTTCCAGCTCTGCAAAAGCCAAGGAAACAAGCAAGCAGGCTGTAAGAATGGTGAAGACAGAGTGGAATCAGCAAGTAAGACCTGGCTCCACGTTGTCTCCAGTGGCCATTTTAGATGACTAGGCCAATGGCTGGAAGGAAAGAGAGCAAGACACACCAACAGTCAGAAACATGCTGCTGCTGCAAAAAGTATTTCAGATGGAAATAGCCAATCACCAATAGTAATGACCCGGTGTGAAGGTGAAGAGGGAGCATGGGCAGGCGCCATGTCTATGCAGGAGGGAGGCAGACTAATTATGTCACCCACGGGTCGTGGCACACACTCACTGCAGCTCATCAGCACATCCAACCAGCAGATCTAAGCTATCCGGTTCAGTCTGCCCTCTCATCCATGGCCAGTTCAAAACAAGAGTGCAGGGTGGTTGAGGTGTCCTCTGGCAAGGGTGGTGACAAGTCACACAGGAAGAGTGGCATGTCCAGGCAGTGCTGGGTGTCCACAGATGAGGCTTACAACACCAGGATCTCCCAGAGGTAGCCACTCAGACAGGGCTACACAATCTGGTACCTCTAAAAAGCAAGGCATAGCTACCATAAAGAGGCCTGAAGCTCTGCCCAGCCTCAGTTCTCATGGTGCTCATGGTCACCATTACTGTCCCAACTCTATCCTAATAGCACTTGCTTGGGCAAGGGATTTACAGTTATGTTTTCTCACTGCCCCCCCCCCAAGCATTGCCTCATCTTAACAAACAGGAGCCCCAGACTGGCCTCCAGTGCCTGCTACAGGATTCTAAGTACTTACTGGCTTGCACAGGTCTCGGTCAGTTTTCGCTTCCATCTCCCAGACATGGTGGCCATCTGGAACAAAGGGCAGAAAGAAATCTGTCACTTTGTGTGGGGACACACTTAGTCTGTCTTCAGTACCTTCCAGATGACCCGGAACCTGAAGGTCAGGGAGGCGAGAGTGGGAGAGAATGGTGAGATCAATGAAGGACACGGCCGAACTGCTTAGGGCTGGGGTTCAGGGCAGTGTTCTGGGTCCCCCGGACATTCTTCCCTCACAGGGGATGGCAAGTATTGACCTGATACAGAGTACTTAGTCAGGTCCACAGACAATGCCCCGCCTCCTGAGGAGGGGGAGCCACACACCGTTAGTGTTTCTAACGGTCCAGCTCTGGGCCCATGTTTACATACATCTTACTGGCTCCAACACACATCAAGAAAGGGTTCCTATACTTCAGTCTCTTCCAAGGGAGAGCACTGCAGAAGAGAGTCAGGGAAAACCCTCAAGCCCAGCAAGTATGACATATGTTGTGCTTAGAGAACATCTCGGCTCTGCCACTTAGTGTCATGTCCCACTAGCCTCCCATGTGTGTTGGGAGAAGTCAGAGGAATTCCCCAGCCTCTGCCCAGAGGAAATGCTTTGGAGAGAAGAAAAGCCATTCTTTGGCTACTTCATACCATATCAGGACCTAGAAATGCAAAACACTTGGTATTTTTTAACCTTAGCCCAGTGGCCATTTGAATGTTTTAAAAAAATATGAAAAGGCTCCCATAGGCACAGTGAAAGGACTTATTGTTCTCAGCTGGCGATGAGGTGTGGACCTAGTGCTTAGAGGAAGGGTGTCTGCCACTCACAGGCTCTGAGTCCCCAATCCTGCTGACAGGCCCATGACCTGGGGACAGCTGGGTGGCCACTGAGTTGACGGATATCCATCCCAGCTTTTATCTTCTCCAAAGTGAAGTCAGTTCCTGAGATGAGCCGTTTGGGGCACATGCTTAGTTTCTGCTTACACTCCATTTGTCTGTCACTAACCCCACATTACTGATAAATCAAACAGCAGCTCCTTCCCTCAATGCTGGACAGGGTGGTGGGTGGAGGGTGGAGGCACAGGGTGGAAATGTGAGTCACCAGAGGCTCCAAGAGCCACCCAGCCTCACCGGGCCACACCAGCTCCCAAGACACCCCAGGCCCTGAGCAAATCACCCATCAGATGAGCCCATGAAGGGTACTAACTGTATCCCTAATTCATGCCCCTCAGGGAAAACAACAGGACACCCCTAGAGCTTTGGAATATCAAGAAGAGTGAACCCCTTGGCCTTGATAGTCTTAAAGTGCTGTCAACCTCAGCCACTTGTGCCAACATATAGCCATGAGGGTCAAACACAAGGTACCCACACACAGTTCTCTGACCATGCTCTGTGTATCATCCAGCTGCCTGCTGCGTAAGCTTGCCCTCCACAATGGAGAGGCAGCAGGTATGCCTGGAGAGGAAGGAAGGAGACTGAGGCATTCTGTGGAAGGAAGTCACATATCACAACCTTTAAAAGTCTGCTCAGGAGGTCTGTCACCTCTGGGAACGGAGAGAAGCATAAACCAACCCAAACCCCTGAGGAGGGTGCTTTGTAAGTTCAAATCATGTGGCAAAAGAAAAAAAAAGTGGTTGAGAAGGAACCATTGTGAGTTGCCATGCCACGACTGGCCAGCTCCCATCCAGCACCATGCCAACAATAAACAGACAAGAGGGAGCTCCTCCATTCCTGTCTTCTAAGTCACACCAAGTCAGATCACCCATCAGGTTTTGCTTCACATTGAAGTACGGTTCCTTGGAGCCATCAAGATGTATGTGCTTACAGTGAAGCACTTTCTCCCAGGCCAGGCATTCAAAGCCCTGGTCCTATCCGGACCCAGGGCCTCCATTTGCAGTTGTCACACAGTGAGGAAACAGTGATTCTGTTATCCTCATCATGGTCTGGCAGTAGCTGCCTGAGGACTTTTGAATGCACACTGCCAGTTGCTTCTGACAGGAGACCAGGGGCCCAATGATGAGGAGATGGCCCTTTGTACTCCTGAGGGAGCCATTAAGGTAGCAGCTGTGAGGGACGCTGTGGACTATCAGATGAGCCCAGAGGCACCGGAGCCCCGGCTCAGAGGCTAGTTAACCCAGCACTGTACAGAATTCAGCTTCTACCAGGCAGGGAGCCAGCCGGCCATCCTAAAAGGGCCTTTGTGTCCCATCTTATCAGGAGCTCCCTAGACTCCCAGTAGGAAACTGCACTCCAGTTCAGAAATAAAAATATTCCAAATCATTAGGGAATTCCCTGCAGTGTGAGTCATCGGAAAGGCTTCCCCACCACACCCGCCCAAGGTTTCCACATAGGCGGCCTGCAGGTCTGAAAGAGTCCACTGGCTTCGGGACGCTGCTGCCGCCACAGGCCCACAGGCCAGTCACACGCCAGGGTCCGGGCTGAGCCACTGTTTCCACGTGTGGAAGCAGCTGAAGTTTACTCAGGAGAGGAGAAGCTTCCCAAGATATGTTTCGACTCCTCCTTGGGGTGGGGCACGAGGCTCCATCCTTCTAGCTCTGTGTCTGCATCCCATCAGCCTCAAGGGAGGGGCAGGTCCAAACACCCCAGCCTTGTGAAGCACTAGGATAGATGTGTCATGAGGCCAGATGAGCACAACAAAGATTGCACAGAGCAGGACTACAGAGGGGCTCTGAGCACAGATAGCCTGCTATGCAAGTGGGTTCTCCAACCTTCCACGGACCCTGCAAGCTGGGCATGCAGCCCTTGGTGCCCTAGAGGCCTGTTTTTCCCAGGTTAGGTGGGCACCTTTGCATTCCTTAGCAGAACCCCAAGGCAGAATGAGGCTGCCCAGCATTTTGGAAAACAGCCTGGTGGCATTGAATAGCTGAGGACAGACTCATACCCAGGTATGTGCCAGGAGGAAGGCACAGGCTGCCATAGAACCTTGTTTATGAACATTCACAACAACTTCATTCACGATGATCACAGAGAGTGGAACAACCCCATGTCCATCTACTGACCTGACCACACGGGCCTGGTCAGTCATAGAAATGGACAGAGAACTGGGATCTACTACCAAGGGGATAAAAAAAAAATGCCATCAGGTGAAAGAAACCAGACTGCAAAGCACAAACACTGACTCTGCTGACAAAAAGTATCCCAAAGAGGCAAATCCTCAAGGTACAGAGAGGGATGGCAGGTGTCTGGAAGGGGGATGGGAAGAGCAAACTGCTTTCGTCTCTTGCTCCTTGTGGCTAAAATAGAACACCTGAAGCTGGACATGCTTCAGCAACCACTCAGTCCCAAGTGGGGGCTGGTAGCAATAGTACCATGTGGTAGGATTGTGTGTGGAAAAGGCTCCACAATTGGGCAAGAGGCCAGAGGCTGAGGGCCAGGCTTGCCCTTCACAACAGGTTGCTCTGCTAACTAGCACTGTGGTCTCTCACAAGGTGACCCTCTCTGTCTCTGTCTCTGTCTCTCTCTCTCTCACACACACACACACACCTCATCCTTCTCAGTAGACTCCACCCTGCAAAGCCCAGCATCTCCCACATGGCCACCCTGATGAGCACTTCCAGTACTGGAACCTCAGAGACACACCCAGCCACACCCTCCCTGTGCCACTGCTCATGGAAAAGGGACTTCTTTCATGGAGCTTAAACTATCCTGGGCATGGAGCAGATAGCTGCAGAACTACCAGAACTGCATCCTGTGAGAGATCTGTATGAAGGCAGGCTACAGGCGCTCAGCAGAAAGCTGTTACCTGGTGGGGTTGTGAGTGTGGCTGACAAATGTAACCTGGAAACACTCGAGGAAGAAGAGGGACTGGATGGTCAAGGACCAGCCTTCCATCTTGAGATGGTGGGTTCATGCTGCCCATGAAGCCCACAGGAATAGCCAGCCTGTCAGCATCAGGATATGAGGCAGATCTCTCCTAGGGGCCTCTGGGCAGAATCTACTTTCTGAATGCCTGGGGCAGCTCTATCATGGACTTTCCAAATTCATTTCCTTCTAAGCCTCTTAGAAACACTGTCTGTGAGAAGGGCTATGGGCACTGTCCCCCGTTTCCTTCCCTTACTGGGCCTGTGATTTCTGGAACCACATAGAGCTGGGCATGCCTGTAAGACAGAACTTCAAGGGTGCTCTCTCTCTCTCTCTCTCTCTCTCTCTCTCTCTCCCCCAAGTCTTACTGAGTGACTGTGCATGGCAGCCATGTGGAACCTTGCCTGGCCAGGTCAGCAATGCGATATTTTTAAGCCCATGATGAAAACAAGCACATGTGCACAGATCTGATGACGTACAGAGCCTGGGAGCAGACACTGTCCTCTGCGCTGGCTCACCCTAGCACCATGGCCAGGGAATTGGAAAGAGGAAGGCATTTTCCTACAGCTGGTCAGGACTTCAGGGTATGTGCAGCTCCGTAAGTTGACCCCAAGACACCCAGTGAGTAGAAAAGCCCATGGCAGCTGCAGCTGCGGCCTTTTACAAGTTGTCGAGGAAGCAGATGGGAAGAGGCCTCTGTGGCCACACAGCCCAAAGCACATGGATTATATGTGGTAGTAGACTGACCGCCGAAAGGACCACTGTGGGAACTTCACTTCCCTCCCCATGGAAGGTGAAACAGGGCTGACTGTCTCTGACCGTAACAGCCACCTGGTGGAATTACAGGGGACTTAAGGTGCCCTTGCTTAGTGCTGCAAGTGGCAGAGACATTCCATGGGGGGGGGGGTGCAGAGTACTCGGTCACATCACGTAGGGACATAGTAATATCCCAATGCATGCACACACACGCACACACACACACACACACACATACATTGGCAGACGCATACCTCATGACACGCTAGCATATACACACATTCATCCACACTCAGTTATACATAAACACACTGTCTCTCTCTCACACACACACATTGCATACACAGTAACACACATACCCCTTGCAGGGACACAACTCTGTACTAACATCCCCCATTCTCTCTAAGCTGGCGTGAAGCCACAGTTCTCCCTGTAGGCTGCTTCCTAGTCATGGGACAGTGTGCCCTGAAGCCTGTGGTCATGAACAGGCTCATACTTTGAAAAAAAGAGATGAGGGCTCCTGGTCACCTTACGCTCTGGCCGGGGGCAGGTGCTACCCACACAGGGATCCCTTGAAACTAATTACGCTTAACAAGCAGACTGAAAGCCTTTCAGAGTGCATGGCACATGTGGAGTCCTCGACCCTCTCAGGGCCCTGCTTTCTTCAGCTGCCAGAGGTTTCTCTTCCCCAGCTTAGCACCTTCTCCTCCGGCAAGCCCTGGGGCCAGCTCTGTCCCCAGAGACACACTGACAATGATGACATGTCTGTGACCCACACTCCAGATCAAACACATGTCCCTCAGACCCCTTGGCTGGGTCCCTAAACCTTCTCAAGAAACAGGGAAGGAAGGGTCAGTCCAGGAAAGCAGATCTGTGGGCAGCAGAACTCACCAGGTCTGTGTCTGGGGGAGACACTTAACTCTGGGGGACACAGACAGCAGTGGCACCGAGGAGCAAGTGCAGATGATGGTGTAAGGAGGAGTGGGTGTCACCTGTCGGCATCGGGGTTTGAGTGTTCGGTCACCCAGGTTTTGGCCCAGCTTCAGCGCAATAATAGACACCCAGATGGCCTTCCACAAGGCATGTAAACAGAACTACACGCAATGCCAGCGCCACAGCTGTGTGTACCCTTAGAAGCCAGCACCCCTGTTCGCCATGGGTCAGTCTCCACAAGAGTGAGCCTAGCTCAGGAAGACGTCGCGGTTTCACTGCTCAAGCATTGCTGCTCTCGCTCACATACAAACATGTCAGTCTTGAAAGAAAGACTCGTTACATTGCCTGGCATGATGATGAGGCCTGAGAAGAGGCACAGCCTTGCCGTTATGGATAAGCTAGAGCCATGCTGTTCATTGCCCTGGGGCAATAACTCCTCCTAGAGCACATCAGCAAATGAGCAAGGGAGGGCCAGCTCCAGAGGCCATGAGGGCATCTTTCTTCAGCTGCTGAGTGCAGTGGCAGGAGTGTGCATGGGGCAGGAGCCAACAACTGGCTCTGCCATCCCTACCCAATCCCTACGGCAGAACAGCACCCACTCCCACAATCCTTCTGGCAGGGGAACTGCTCCAGTGAATACATGGAACCTTTGAGTCACTGAACATTGTGACCCGGAGCACTGGATGGTGGCCCACAGAATATCAGGGTACCTGTGACTCAGGCATCCTGCATCACACAGGGGAGACAAAGCAGAGCCCAACCCCTGGCTACAGTCCTGATTGCCTGACTCAACAGTGCCCACAACAGTCACAGCCGCAAAGATGGCCCTTTCCAGAGAGGCCAGCCCCACCTGCCCAGCTCACTGTTCAGCACGTCCAAATGTGGTCCTCCTGCAAGTAGCAGTTTAAAAGCAGAGCTTTGAAGCTGACCAGACAATCGGAAGGTGGAGTCCAGCTGAGCTTGTAATCTAAATGGAGCTTAGTGGCTTCTCAGAAAGAAACAGCAAGAAAAAAACAGATACATCACATGGTTAGTGATGGCGTTTGCTTAGAAAACCTGATGTAAAGTAAGAGGATTATGCAGACATTGGTTTCTTTCCTTCAGAAAAATACTATTTGCATGTACACACCTGAGTACACATGCAAATAATCTAATTATAAAAAGGGAAACAACAGACGTTGTCTAGACACAGAACTGCAGTGTTCTCACCTATTAAAGCTCATGGGCTGTCTGTATTCGTGACATCTACTCATTTACCGCATGCCTGTAAAGATCATCACCCGCAGCCAGCGAGACTAGGTCAGGGACCCAACCTGCAACCTCGTGAGCTTAGCTTGAAGGTGGGAATAATTCAGTGAAGGTGAGACAGGGCTTCCAGCGGGGCAAGGTGGGGGCTTGTGGTCAATGGAAGGTTGCTAACCTCCTAGGCAGGAATCCGCATCTTGCCACTCTACCTTACCGCTGCACCATGCCAGGCTCAGCCCCGCTACTGCCCACCTCGGAGAGCTGCCAAAACAGCTGTGGTCAATTCCCCTGAGTGGAAGGCACCTCCCAAGCCTCCCCATAAACAGACAGGAAGGCTGCCTGGGTCCTGCCCTGTGATGAAGCCGCAGGGGTCTGTGGCTACCCTCGGGTTGAGCACAGAGATCTTATAGTGCAGAGTGCAAAGCTTTATGTCTAGTGCTTTTTGTCCAACAGTGAGGCCTGCCTGAGGCTGAGAAGGTCAAAGGATTTCAGAATTAACCTCCTCAGAGAAGGGTGTGGGCATTGCTAATTCTCTTTATCATAGTTGGGTTTTTGTTATAATTTAAAACATATTTTCCAATTATATGCATGATTACAGAGGCAAGCCGAGTTAAATGTGAAAGCCTGTGTTGATTGAAGTGCCTAGGTTTCCTGTGAGTGGTGCAAAATCAAGATCCCATTATGGAGGCTATTGAATGACCTGGTGCTTTTTGATGATTGAGGGTAAGTACGGGACTGACCACCGCCGAGAAAACTCCAGTTGGTAAGGATGAAAAGCAGGAAAGGCCTCCAAATCACTAGCCTTGGATAGATGCTGCCCCAGAACCCTGTGGGTAGGGTATGGCATCCCCCCTCCCCCAAACCCATCTGGAGGAGGACCTGGGTCCAAAATTCCAAACTGCACACAATCTTTGTAGAGGAGAGTTCCCGAAGCTGAGAGGAGACACCCTTTCTGGGCCACACACCCGCCACAGCCACCCAAGAGACCCTCTTGCCCAGCTTTCCCCTTGCTCTTTGAAACCAAGTATCAGAGGACTACGTTCTTTCTCTTGGGCTCCACAGCTGGTTGGGCCTTTGTTTTGGGCCTCTCTGGCCATTACAGCTCTCTAGCAAGTGGCTGCCTCCATCTGGAACCAGAAAGGCCCCCACTGTTCCAGAAATGATGAGCAACTGGGATTAGTGTCCCAACGAAGTGACCCAGGGCTACACTCCGGGCCCCAGGGGTTACACCAACACAGTGACTCCAAAGGTAAAGAAAATGCACAGCTCCTCAGGACAGTACCCCTTCTGAGCTCACCCTGGAATCTGCATTTCCCTCTCAGGCTAGTGTGAGCAGAAGGCTACACCTTTAACAGTAACAGTGCCGTGCTCTGTAGTCTCATGGAAATCTTTGGGAGGTATGGGGGTTTGTACACACACTCATATGGCCGAGACACTAAAAATCCCAGTGACTAAGAGAATAACAGCCTGGGCTGTGATGTCGACACGATGGATACCAAGAAGGTTGGAGAAGCCAAGGGAGATCTCCCTTACGTAGGGAAAGGAGAGGGGGAAGGCCAGAAGGTACGCCCAGCAGAGCTCAAAACAGGTGCCAGGCCTGGGGCTCACCACAGACAACTCTAGCAAGTAGGTGATTTCAAAGCCCAACCTGCAGGCTTCCTTTACATGGGCTTTCAAAAGTCTGGGCCTGGAGATGCCAAAGGTGAACTTTGACCTGACGAAAACCCAAAGGGGATGAAAACACAAGCTCTTGGGCTGACAGCTACCTCTGTCTGGCAATTGCTCGTGCTATGACCAAACACCCTTGTGCAGACAGATCATGCAAGCAGAAAGTCCATCCACCTTGCCAGTCAGGAACCAGTTCCCACCAGCACCGAGAGCAGAGACTCATCTGGCCATCCTGAAGAACATACCTGGAGCCTTCTCCACGAAAATGACCTTAGAGTCTTGCAGAAAGTTATGGCCGGATAGCACCATTTTCTTCCCACCAATGACTGGGTAGCTGTCCGTGCTCTGCTTCTCCACAAGGGGCAGCTCCTGGGCCGACCGCTGGGCTGTGTCAGAGGAGGCAACAGTGAGTGAAGCTGTGTCTTCGCTGCCTGCAGGAACCCTAGCTGGGCCCCAGGTGCTGCCATTTGACATAAATGTTCAGATGTTCTGGGGACTGACAAAGCCCTTGACTTGGGTCTTAACCCATGTCATGTGGAAGACTGTAGGTGCACTGTTCCAACTATGTCAGAACGTGGGCCATGCTAGAACAACTGTCTCCAAAAGCTGCAAGCCATCTGAACTCTGACTTCTAATGCTGGTCCCTGGAGTGGAAGGGCCATGAGTCCCTCAGAAGAGCTGGGCAGGAAGGCTGTTCTAGTGCTAGACTGAGCCTGGGGGCAGGGGCAAAGCAGAAAGCTTGACTGCCCCTGGGAGAGAGCCAGTCGGGTATTGGCAACTTCGTGAGGGTGGAAGCGGCAAGGGAGCCTGCAGAGGCTGGAGACAGGTGACATTCTGAGCATCTGCGTCAGATGGGTGTCCCCAGACTCCCTTCTGTCAGACAAGCCAGGGCAGGGGAGAGTTCACCTCATAGGGAAGAGGATCCAGCTTGAGAAAGTCAGGTGTCCAGTGGCTTGAGAGAGAAGGAGACAGAGGGTAGTGCCACGGGCTTGTGTGTGTGACTACAGAAGACTCAGCTTGTTCCGAAAAGCAGGGATTAGTTGAATCCACAGGTGAGCCTGTTTCACAGTCCAGGGGGTAGGGGCCATGGGGGGCAGAGCTAGGGAACTCAGCATGGAACTAAAGATCCCGTGGTGGAAGTCTCCAAGGGGACAATGCCAGAGCAGCTGGACAATGGGCACAGCCTGAAGGCCCTGGGAATGACCGGCAGGGGCTGGCCAAAACTGTTTGTGCTTCCTCGTAGGTCTGGATGACCCTACACAAGTCCACTTCTCCGGATGGGAGAGAGCTTCTGGGTAGAGGGAGGCAGAGCGGATAAACCCTGACAGGGTTCCTGGGACATATGTGGCTTGTTAACAAGGGACCAACCCTGTATGACATAGGAAGGTGGTAGCCATACACGTTCCTCTCCAAGGCCAAGGAGTCCTTGCCCACATTCTGGAGGCCACCTCACATATTAAAAGCAAACACTTGGCACTACGAGGGAAGATGGATAGTCGTGGAACGTTTTAAAAATTCAGGTCTGAGACATGGGGTATGGACCCCTGGGCAGAGCATTTGTTCAACATGCATGTACAAAACATGTACAACACACACACATGCATGTGCATGCGTACACACACAACCTGGAGATAAGAAGTAGAGACTAGAAGAGAAGAAGAAGGGAGAGGGAGGTGGCAAAAAGAAAAAGAGAAGGGAAAGGAACGGGGTGGGAAAGAGAGAAGAGAAAGGGGAGAAAGATGAAGAGGAGGGGTTATTTTGGTTTGTCTAGTATGGCGGCTGGAAAGCCAAAGTTCCTTTTCTCAATTTCCCCCAAACGAAGAGGGAATAAATGTAGATGCGGTCAACACAGCTCTGCTTCACAAAAAGAACTTTGCCTTTTACTTCTGTAGTTGCCAGGGCAGGAATGCTTCGTACTTTGGTCAGATTCTAACCAGCACCCAGCTGCACGTGGGAATATGTACCCCAGACAGACCCCTCTTAGGTTGATATGGAAGTTGGGTCGACCTAAGAGGGATCACAGTTTCCGGGAAGCCTGCTAAAACAGACCTTTGATGGCACAGCTCAGAGCAAGCGCTAACACAGCATGGCCTGCTACTTACAGCACTCGATCGGGTTTGAGGCAACCTGGAGGGACAGCGTCCGGCCGTTGGGCTGTGGGATGTGAACTCGGAAGACCAGCCGAACCCTGGTGTTCTTCCTCCCGATGTCCGTCTCCCCTTTCCTCAGCTCAATGTCAGAGTTTCTGAGCTTCAGGATTCCAGCACAGTCGATGCTGTGGAAAACAGAAGCCATGGCTTGGCTGTAGGGCCTGGCACTGAACAAGAGGAGCACCTGGCTGCCAGGATGGACCACGACTCAGCCTTCCTGCTGGGTGCCCCAGCACCCCCTCCCTGGGGAGAAGCCTGTGGGAAGATGCCAGCAGGGTAGGAACCGAGTAGCTGTGTAGACTATGGTCTCCTCCTGGGACCACATACTCACTGCCCCAGACATCACAGACCCCACAGAGGACAGAGGGCGTGACAGAGAACTGTCAGCTCTGAGAGAAAAAGCTTTCAAGGATCAGCCTCCCTGTGCACCTGGCTGCACCCCAGCCAATGTCATTCAAGGCCTGGGACACTGTTTCCTTTGTTCATTTTAAGATCTTTTATGATTTGTAAAACTTTTCTTCTAGCGTTTCATGTAACTTCATTTTGCTTCATAATTTCACTCAAATTTAGGGTCCAGTAGAACATGCCATACATTAAAAAAAAATCTTGATATAATGAATCCAATACCTTTTCTTTCTCCGTAAATGTTAAGAAAATCAAGCATTTGCTGCCCATGTCAAGCAGTATGTGGGACCTGTAGACCAACACACACACCAACGTAGCCCTCAGGGTATGTCTTGGGCTGCGTGGCTGTGTTTGCTGAAGGCCCTGCCCTACTACAGTATGTTATGGTAGAGTGACCATAGCCGTTGTGGCTGACCCTGCCTCCTCTGAGACCCTCTGACTGTGTCCTGTCCTTGGGAAATTCAGATTATGCAGTTGGAGAAGTAAACCCAAGGGCTGACAATGAAGTCCTGCAGAGTAAATCCCTTGGGCCCCTGAGAAGTTGACACACAGAGACCGCTTTCCCTTTCATCTGCATCTTAGAAGGCTTAAAGCTGTGAAGAACATGTCAAAGTGCACACAAAGTACTCTTCGGCACGGCCCCACCCTCCTGCCTCATCTCCTGCGCTCCCCTCACCAGGCTGGCCTCCTTGCAGGTAACAGAGCCCTGCTCAATATTATGCGATGTGCTCTGAGCTTATTAATAAATTCTGTTCTAGGCTAACTGTGCACCATATGGGCTTTGCGCTCGGGATCTGGCCATATCAGCCATGCCCGCAGGCAGCCTTGAGTGAAAACACTGTGAGGCACTGAGGCACTGACCTCCCTTCTATTTCCATGTTTATTTCAACCGGCCTGAGTGAGTGCTGCTGCATGCAGAAGTAAACAGGTGTTGTCTTTTGGAACCAAACGCAGGCACTGGGGGCAGTGCTTACAGCTGTGCGGTTGACACACGCTTAGGTGGAACAACACACAGCACCTGAGAGCCCAGAAAGATGCAAATCTGCCGTAAAGTCTCTTCAGGCCCTTGCCACAGGGCCTTCGGCCTGGGAGCTGGGACCAAAGCAGCAGGGGCTGGGGCAGAGCAGCAGGAGCCTACACCTCAGGCACGGCCCCCATTCTGCTTACATGGCTCGCATGTTATTTTCTGGAAGCAATGGGATCTCCAGGACTTTGGTGTTGGACAGGATGGCCTCATGGCTGGTGGTGGAGACGGTCTTCCCCGTGATCCGGTGGACCTGGTAGAAGGCATGGGGCCGCAGCAAGCGGTCATCTGCTGTCCCAATGAACAACTGTAGTGTGAGCGGCTCATTTTCCAAGTAACCATGTAGCTGGCAAGAAAACAAAACAAAACAAAACAACAACAACAAAAAACCTCACTAAGCACCGTGCACATGAACTGCTGGGACTCAAGCTCAAAAGGAAAGCTGTGCCCAGTGCCCAGTGCCCGGTGCCCAGTGCCCTGTCCTCCAGATTCATGTGATGTAATATTAGTTCTTCTTAAAATTATAATTACAAAATGCAGCCAGGCACAGTGGTGCACATCTTTAATCCCAGCTCTTGGGTGGCAGAGGCAGGCCACTCTCTTAATTCAAAGTCAGCCAGCATCTACATAGTGTCAGGATGGCCAGAGCTACACAATGAGGCACTATCAAAAAATAAAATAAAAACTAAGGTTTCGTTGTCCTGCAGGCCCTGGGAATAGCTAAGAATTCGAACTTTCCTGGTCCTATTTTCAAAAGACACAGCACATGTCCCCACACATGCACCAATGTACAAATGCACGTCTCACACATGCCTTTGCACATGTATAACCAGACAGGCAGTGTGCACACGGGCTCAGACGCACCTAGAGGCAATGAGCAAATGTCTGCACTTCCACACAATCATCACACGCACCCATAAAGCAGCATTCATACAAAAACTACACACAGTTACACATGCACGATATTCCATGTACACACACAAAGGCAGCTTGCACACTGCTCACACACTACGAGCAGCAGGGACAACGTGGAACACTCCTATGCTCACTGCTCTCCAGGTGAAGCTGCCACGGAAGGACCATGAGTCTCTAGCCAAGCCTGATGGTCCCTGGCATTCCCAGCTCACATCTGTCTTGTGGGGCTTTCTAACTGGCTTCTGAGAAAGGAACACCCTTCCAAGCCAGGTGAGCAGAGCAGGCATGGAGGTGGCCTGGCTTCTGTGAACGGTGGCCTCACCTCAAGAATTCAAGAGCGTAGGCTTTGCCTGCTTCCTCAAATCAATCCTGCAAGTTTCCCAAAAGACAGCCTGATTTTCCACATTCAATCATGGGACAAGTTAGCAGACTACTCACTCACTTGTGATTGGTAAGAATTGTATAAAAGCATGCATGCATGTACTGTAAACACAGCCACACAGACACGCACATATACGCACACACCCACCAAACCGTGTCTACGCCATCTTTCCATGACAGTCCTTTGTACCTCTCCTTCAGAAAGAAGTGAAAACAAGTGCCCTGTCAATGCTGGTTGCACAGCTGACCTCATTGCTGCTCACACAAGTGGACACAGAGCACCTTGCCCCCAGGGACAAGACACAGTGAAACTGCCTGTGCTCATAGCCACCATCCTTCCCACCATAGCTGCATAACTCAAACCAGGACAAATAAACTTCTCCCAGGCCACTGGTGGGTGACTTGCATTTCAGGGGACATCCACAATGTGGTCCTTGTGCAAAAAAGGAGCACCCTTCACAATAAATAACCAGAGTTTAGAAGTGGGGTCACCAGAGCTATCATTCCAGGAGTCAACCTTGCTCTCCTTTGGTCCCCAATGTGCATTCCCTCCTCCAAAAGTTAGTTATTAGAAATGTGTGTCTCATGGCATTTAGTCAACAACTAAGGAATGTTGGGACCAAGGCATTGCAACCTCAGGGAGAATGTGGACAAAGGGGGGCCCTTCATGCTGTGTTACAGGGTAGGGAGGTTCCTCCATGGCCCTGTGAGGACATGGGAGGACTGGGAGAGGACTGCCACAGGGCCTGAGAACTGTTTGGTCCTGTAGTCTGTGCTCACTCTCCTACTGTTCTCGTGACCTCTCTTCTCACTTGGACTAATTTCAAAGTCTTTGAAAACAGCAATGGTGACAAACAGTGACAACAAGAGAGTCAAACTGTTCTCTCCTTAGGCAAGTCATAGCCACAAAATATGTCAAAAGACCACTGTCGCCACCCAAAGGCCTTTAAGCCATGGGCCAAGAGCCTACAGCCTCCATCAAACCCATGATGAGCATTGAGGTGCCCCACTTGCTCAGAGGCCTTGGGGGCTGCAGGTGATATGCCTGCACAGGGTGACCCTGGTCCCAGCCGCAGGGGAACCTAGGATAATGAGACTGAAAGACTCATACAAACTGAGGAAAGTCAGCCTGCAGGCCTGGCTTTGGCTCCCCTGCCTTCTTGAAGCCGCCCTTCCCATCATTCTATTCAGAATCATGAAATCTGTCCACCCCTTGGGCCATGCTTGTGATGTCCCATAGTGCCCAGCTGCCCTGAAGGAAGCCTGGGTTGGATGATGTCAGGAGCCACCCGTGCTTGCTATGGGCTTCGAGGACACAGTCAATGACTAAGTGTAGCCTCCTCTGGTCACTGTCATCCACTTTGCTAATGGCTAAGCCCACAGCCCCTCACGGAGGCCACAAAGAAATGGCCTGGCCACAAGGTGGCAGAAGGGCTGAGGGCTGGAACATGGAACTCAGAACCAAGAGTGACATTTAGGTGGAGACCTGAGATGGAGTCTGGTTTTAGCAACACAAAACAGGAGGGAGGTGAACAGCCCCCACCAGAAAACACCAATCAGTCTTCCAGGGTCCTGCAGTGAAAAGGGTGACGTTCTGTGGTGGAAGAGACCCTAACGGGAAAAAAAAAGCCTCAGCTACAAGAAGTGGATCCACAAATTCTTGGAAAGGGAAAGGGAGGTTAGAGGGAAGAGAACAGCTACAGAGGACCCCAGGCTTTACCCACTTACAGCTTGTCTTTCCAATGTAAGTCCAGCCTTATGGGCTGGTAGGGGATTGTGCCCTTCATTTTGAAACACTGGGGAAAAAAAAAAAACAATGAAACCTAGAAATGGGAACCAGAAAAATCAGACAGTGCAATTAGCTGCTGCTCAATTTTGATGTGGGCCCCCGGGTATTGGCTTTTTACAAGGCAGTGGGGCTTCTCACATGTTCCTCATGCAAAGGTCTCAGCCACTGCCTCTGGCCTGATGCATGCCAGGGGCTCATTAGTAGAGGCACAGGCACCATGGCTTTCATTAGGTCCTGTGATCCACCAGCATGTGGCACGCAGCCAGTGCCAGCCCTACCTCGAGATGAAAGGACCAGGGACTAGGACTGTACTTCAAACAGGTACAGCCCAAATCCTCAAGTTCAATTACCAGCCCACCCAGCCACCAGCAGCAGCAAGAAAAAAATGTGTTCCCCACTCAGCAGAAGCTAATGGGGCAGAGGCTCAGGGCTTTGTGGCTTCAATAAGCAAAGGAGGCCAGGTGGAGTAGGAGCCCCACAAAAGGGCTCACCTCTGATGGCTGGAGTAAAAGCACACCTCCTTCACATGGAGGAGGCCAGCAGACCACCACATGGACTTGGAGAAGCTCTGTCCCCTTCCTGCTGAATTGGTACAAGGTGATAGGCATTGACAGCACCCAGAAGGCAAAGGAGAACTCATCTGAGAACCCTGCACACCAACACTTTTCTTCAGCAAAAACCTTCTCTTTCCCAACTCAAAGCCCCACGAGGCAATCTGGGATGACTTTCTGTGAGCCCACAAATTTCCTCCCAGGCCAAGAGACTCGTCCATGCAGACACTCGGGGTTTAGACGAGAGTAAGAAATGGCTTGTGCCCATCCACCCAGAGACTCCACAGCATAGCTCAAGCCACAGAAACCATGCCTCCACACCATGTTAGCAAAAGACACAGAACTTCAGTCCCTGTCAGATGGCCCATCACTGACCAGTGTCAGGAGAGGGGTCCGCACAGTCGGGACACTGAGGGCCAGCGATCCTCTGGAGCTCTAAGGAAAGCTGGGGCTGGGAACACCAGTCCTCTATGATAGATCACCAGGCAAGACAGAGGTGGATAGAGAACTCACAGCACACTGCACGGTGGAGAGGCAGACCAGAAATAGCGTACTGGTCCCTGTGGCTGCCACCACGCAGATGTCACAGCCGTGCACACAAGAATCTGTGATGAAAAGATGGGATGGTGAGTGTTACAGTATGCTTGAATACGCAGCCCAGCCACTCCCTGACAACAGCGGCTCCAAGGGGACCCTTGTCTCCCCAGGCCTCTGGGCAGCTGCTGATTAATGTTGAAAATTAATGCTTGTCCTGTGGCAAGCCCTGAGTGCATGTGCCACAGCCAACAGAGACTCTGGCAGTCATCTGGGCGGTTTTACAAGTGTCGACGAGCCCTGCGCGAGACAGTCTGCATGGCAGGTGCAGATGGCAGTGCTCTTGTTCCTGTCTACACACATGTGTTCACAGACGTGTAGCTCACGTCTTTTGTGCCCTGAGTCATGTCGGAAGGATTTCTCTCTGGACCTGGATCAGGAGCTATGGGCCAGGCTCTGTTTCTGTTTCGTCATGTAGTCACAGCATCTGTGAACCAGATCACTTGGGATTCACTAACAATGTGTGAGATACTTTCAGGTGGGCCATGTGCTAAGAGCATGCGCAGGTGCCTGCCGACCACAGGGTCCTGGTCATCCTGAGACAGCACAGTGGGGCGCCAGAATGCTACAGGGCTGTCCCTTCCCCAAGCTCCCCCATTTGCTGTGGGCCTGGCTGCATGAATGAATATTGCAGATGCCACATAGTCTCCCTTCTATGGCCATCAGCACAGAAAGCCACCTCTTCCCCCTCGGGCCAGAGTGGTCACAGCCAGCAGCGTCTGAATCTGCGGGGACAGAGTGCTTTTTCCTTGTGAACTATGAAGCTGTGTGAGCACAGAGGTCCCTGCAGACAGCGCTTGGTCCGGGCCTCAACCTCTGGGAGTCAGGCACTTGTCTCTTGCATTATGACGAATCTACTAAGAAACCATTAGTCTGCATTGGATTAGAATAGTTTTACAATGTGAAATGTAAAAACAAAACAAACAAACGAAAATCAAAGACAATTGTGCCAGTTGGTGTTACTCCATCTTGTGAAATTTAACACAAGAATACGTAAATACATCTAGATTAAAACCTTCTCAGCAGGCAAGGCTCAGAGTGAGCCGAAGCTCTATCCCAGCCTGGCTCAGGCCAGATGACTTCAAAAGGACAACTCAAAATCCCCCCAGGACCCCT